ACAGCAGAGTTCTTCCTATTCTCGTGCAAGAGCTGAGGATTGAGAGAAGCCCGGTGTAGCTCATGGGAGTGACCTTAGCTTTGAGAAGCCTGAAAATGAGACTTGGATGTAGAGTGGGGTGTGTGTGTGTTTTGAGGGGATCAGGCTCTCATGACCTCTGGCTCTTTTTTTTTTTTTGCTCCAGGAGCACTTCCCAAGCCCACCATCTGGGCTAACCCAGCCCTCGTGGTTCGCGGGTGCAAACATGGCCATGGAATTGTGGAATGATTTTTTTTGTATCCTTAGCAGAGAACCCAGTGAACTTCGTTCTTGATCATCAATGTGATGAGATCCAGAATTCAGTGATGGGCAGAGGCGAGTGGTCACAGGTGAGGTGCAAGGAAACAGGGACAGCAGTACTTGTTCATCTCTGGACATAGATTCAGACACACATGAACGAACCCATGTGCCACAGGTTTCACTGTTTAGTACTTGTAGGTCATGAGGGTAGGCATCTGAGAGCTTGGCTAGATGAAGTACACACGTTGGAGAAAGATGGTTAATTACGAGTGCAAGTTTACATTTTATGGGCCCCTGGGGTATCAATACAGTTCCTAAACGGATGTAGATACATTACTCAACTTCTTCTGTAAAGATGGGGCTAGATTACAATGGTTCTCAACCTAAGAAAATTTTGCATTTCAGTAAATATTTTCTAATGCCCAGAGACATTTTTGATCGTGACTGTGAGGATGCTGGTATCTAGTGGGTAGAGGCTAGGGATGCTGCCAAACATACTGTAAATGTAGAGGACCATGTTTCCTAACCAGTAGTGATCTGACCCCAAATGTCAATAGTGTGGAGAATGAGAAACCTTTAGTGTCCTTTTAAAACTCTGTGCCTCTCTTTTGTCAACTTTCCCCCTTCCTCCCAGTGAACCTGAGAATAAAGATGCTCTGGAGGCCGGGCACGGTAGCTTATTTCTGTAATCCCAGCACTTTGGGAGGCTGAGGCAGGTGGATCACTTGAGGTCAGGAGTTCAAGACCAGCCTGGCCAACATGGTGAAACCCCTGTCTACTAAAAATGCAAAAATTTGCCAGGAGTCTGGGGCAGAATTGCTTGAACTTGGGAGGCGGAGGTTGCAGTGAGCCGAGATCACGCCACTGCACTCCAGACCAGGGAATGGAGCGAGACTGTCCAAAAAAAAAAAAAAAAAAAAAGGAGGAGGGGATGCTCAGGGAATGACCTGTGCTGGGTTGGATAAGGAGACCTTGAAACAGGAAAACTTAGAAGCCCACACAGTATGCAGTGGAACTGGAAAGTGATGGAGTGGTTTAAAGGTAGTATCAGAGAACTTGGATGTAGTTGGTAAAAATAAACCAATGGCCCCTGTTGAAGAAATGAAAGTGTAAGAGTGAGATTAATTTTTTTAGTTTTCAATTTAAATATTGCCGGGCGCGGTGGCTCACGCCTGTAATCCCAGCACTCTGGGAGGCCGAACCGAGTGGATCACAAGGTCAGGAGATCGAGACCATCCTGGCTGACATGGTGAAACCCCGTCTTTACTAAAAATACAAAAAATTAGCCGGGTGCGGAGGCGGGCACCTGTGGTCCCAGCTACTCGGGAGGCTGAGGCAGGAGAATGGCGTCGGCCCAGGAGACGGAGCTTGCAGTGAGCTGAGATCATGCCACTGCACTCCAGCCTGGGCAACAGAGCAAGACTCCATCTCAAAAAAAAAAAAAAAAAAAATTAAAACTACTTTTGGCCAGGTGTGGTGGCTCAGACATACAATCCCACCACTTGGGGAGGCCAAGCTGGGCAGATC